ATATAGCAACTTTCCATCCCCACCATCTATACTTAGAGGCTTAGGCCTAAGACGAGTATTTAGGACCGTCATAATCACCCCCTGTATCCCGGAGAAACACCAGGAGACTAGTAAGGTGATATAAAGGTACCTGAGTTGACGACAAGGGTTAAAAAAAAAAAAAAAAAAAAAAAAAAAATAACAATAAATAATACAATAAATAATATATATAATTTTAAACATTTATATAATTTTTGTTATTTTTTTATAATATAGTAAATAAAAAAAAATTTTTTTTTTAATCTTGCAATTAGGTTGATATTGTTTATTTATTAAATTATAGAGAACCATTATACATACAAGAATACATACAAAGTACAAATTTCCTTGACCCAACTCATCCATTGATAGCCAAAGTCTCTATATATAATTTATGGAGGTGATATATTATTCTCTTAAAGGATAAAATTAAGATTCCAAACTTCCAGTAGGATCAAAACCTGCAGATCACCTCCACAGTCACGACCATAAATTCAAATTGTGTCACCTCCTCTTGTAAAAACTATGCAAGGGAAAAAAGAAATAAAAAAGGAATTTTTTAACAAAAAAAAAAAAAAAAGCTATCATCTATTCCAACTATTATTGAAAAGATTATCTCAGTGAACTTAAAACCCAAGCTTCTTATGGTTTCCCACTTCTCACCAGCTGTAGCCAGTCAAACTATTTAATTTTCATTAGAGTAGTCAATATCCAAGAATATTTAAGAGCACTTCCAAGAAAGTATTTCTTAAAACTTTATACTTGAAAACTTCTAACCAGAAAGGATGTTAGTTTTCTATTATTGATTTTTTCCCAAGCCATATCTTCTGGAATTATTGTTTCACTCAACCAGTAAATAGTTTCAAGATCTCTTTTTTTAACTATTTTCGAGATAAATATTGATACTTCAACGTTATCAAATTGGGATAGGACCTAGACCTTGTTGCTACTTTCCGTTCTTAAGAAAGAATAGGGAAGAAAAAAGAAAATAAAAGAATAGAAACAAAAAGGAATTGCTTCTCTTCTACTTATAACTTTTACTTCATCTAATACTCCTATATTACTCTTTTAATTAAAAACTGTCCAACTCTTTCAGGAACCAATCATATCATCAGTTTGATGTTGCTTGACTAAGAACATATGTAGAGTATATATCTTGTTTACTTTTTCTGAGGCTGATGTAATCAACCAATTTATGGCCTTGACCAATCATCTTTTAGGAGATTCAGTATAACCAAAAATTCAAGGTCAAACTGAGATAAACAAAATTTCTCAAAAAAATTAGAAAAAAAAAGCACACTTGAGAAAAAAGAAAAAGGAAGTCAAAAAGATGATAAAAAGACTGAAAACTTCTTTGTTCTTGTTTTTTTGGATTCTTAAATCTTTTGGGAGTCTTTGGAGTGTATTTTTTCTTATTAGTTTTCTTTCTAGAAAGGTGTTCTTGCCATAGACCTTTTAGGTAGGTTTCTTGTATTTAGTTATCAAAATAAACAAAAAAAGTATTTTAAAAAAGAAAAATAAAACAAGTGGTAGCTTCTGCTTACTCTGCTGATTAAGGAACCAGTGTTGTTAAGAAAAGTTTATAGACTTTATTATTATAAAGACAAAAAGTTTTTTGAGAACATCTGTTTTTTGAGTTGACAAAAGGATCAGTAGAAAGAATTTTTTAGTAAATAAAAAAATTATTTTTTCTTAATTTTTATTTTAAATATATTAAATATTATTAAAGCAATTTAAAAAATATTTTTTAAAATGGAATTACTATATTATCTATACTTATCTTTAAAAATTTTCAAAAATTTTTATTTTTTGTTAAATATTTTTAAATATTAAATATTTTCTTACTTTTTATCAAAATCATTATTATAAATATAAGTTAGCAAATACTTTTAATTTAATAAATATAATATAACTTGGTTTTTTCAAAGTTTTTTAAACATCTTTATTAAGTTTTATCTTCTTTTTCTTTTTTTTAAAACCTATAATTATATATTAAATTTATTATATTTTTTGTTTTTATTTAAATATTTATAAAAATAATAAAAAAAAGTTGGAAATTTTATATAAAAATAAACTTTTAAAAAAGTCATTATAATTATAATTTTCTTATAATTGTTTATTACTTTTTGTAAAATAATAAAATATTTTATAAATTATAATATAATATAAAAAGATTTGTTTATATAATTATGCAAATTTATATTAAATTTTTTATTGACTAAAATTATTTGTTTTTTATTGGTTGAAATTATTTGAATTTTATTGATTAAAATTATTTATTTCTTATTGATTAAAATTAATTTATAATTTTTAAAGTACTTCAAAATTAATATAAATATTATATATATACACAGTGAACCTGGATATAACGAAATAATCCGTTCCATCATTTTTCTTCGTTATAACAGGTTTTCGTTATATCCAGGTTTTTTCTTTATAAGGAAGTTCTATATAATTTTTGATATACCTCTATTATAAAAGAGTAATAATTTGAACATAATAACACTTATTACAATATTACCCCCAATAAAAATTTAGCAATAACTAATAATTACATTTGAGTCGCCCGTGACGAACCTCATACAGTACTAGAATGACGTATGATGTGTTCATGGTTAATGATTTTTTCATTTTTGGATGTCATTGCGTGCAAAACTTGTGATCAGATTTTTTTTTTTTAAAAAAAAAGGTGTTAGTTACTGTATCGATTTGCATGACGATAGAAGTAATTCAAATGAAGTTTCTCAAACTTACCTTTGTCGACAAGATGTGTTGTAGGAATTAGTGAAAGCCTTCGTTAATCTCATGAACCAGAATGCAAAGATTAAGCTTGCAGATTTAAGGGAAAGAGAGAAGATCTGTATTCGTGATTAGAGTCATACGAGAGGGTTTGAATAACGAAAAATTAAGACGAGTATCTAATTACCTGAAGATACGTATTATGGACTAGTACGAAGTTGGTCGAAATTGCTTCAGCTATTGAAACAATAGGAGAAAAGCTTTGTGCCAAGTTTTCTCTGATTCTTTGTGATGCCCAAGCAAAAATGATAATGGCAATCGGAGTTGAAGAGACTAAAACAAGAAAAGGATAAGAAGGTGGCAACATATGCTCGTAGATTTCAGGACCTAATGAGAAGAATTGACCCCATAACAGCGAACCTGAAAGGGATAAGGTGAAAGCGTTTGTAGGAGGGTTGAGAAAGAGAACTGCAACAGTACTCATTAGAGGGAAAGACGTCATGTTAAATGAAACAATAAAGGAAGTTAGTCAGGTCGAGGAGAATGAAAGGTTTAAGGTGATTAAAGGAAGTAGGAAACAAGAGAAACCAAAAAAGACACAAAGGTTAGCAAACAAGATCCAAGAATTAATTCAACAAATCAGAAAGGTCTAGTATTTCGAAACCATAAAAGAAAGCAGGGCGAAGAGCAAAGGCAAGAGGGATTTAAAGCAGGAGCAAACGATCCATTATAAGGCAATCCTAAGGAAAACAAAAGGTGGAGATAACGTAGGGCTGATGATGATCAAGACTAAAATTTGCAAAACAGAATCCGGGGAAGGATGAAAACAATGACACACTTTTAAACATTGAAAACATACGGACGCCATCCTTTGACTTCGATAATAGAAAGCAAGGTGCGAATGGTAAAATAACAAAGGACGATGAAAGAACTAACAAAGTTCAAGCTGAGCTGAACTCAAGGCCTACTAATAAAAATAACAAATCAGGATGTGATAAAAGAACCGGAACTAGAGATCTTGACAACAAATACCGATTACATAGAGTTTCAATACATACCTATGTTAAACAAAAGGGGTGTCAACCTCGGTTGGTATAAGACGAGAGAAAGTGAGGATGAGGGCAGAATAGTGTAGCGCACAGTTCAGAACATCTAAGTGTATTACAAACCTGTAAGTTCATACAAATTCAACTTTAATTTTAATATTTCGACAAAACTGTTATTGCATCAAACTTCTATCAGTTAAAGAAGGATTAACTATTTAGCAAGTTAAGTATCATTCATTAATAAAATCAAAAAATCACTATACTAACTAAAAGATTATATATTATTACCTATAGAATTAAGAAAGAACTCAACCTATCAATATGGACCTGATAAATCAAATTAAACCACAGGCTTTACTCCTGGTACTGTAATGTTCTTCTATCAATTTCTTAAGTTTCAACTTGTAATAATACTCTCTCTGAACCCAAACACTTTAGTTTTTCGTAAGGTATTAAACAAGTCACTAAAAAATTAACATAATTCATAGTTAATATTATAATGGTATCTGATCGTCTTCGATTCTCTAATTTTATTTTTAATTAATGAAAATAGAATTATGCGTCGTAGTTTATTATTCTGCTAATAATGCATTTAGGCATTATCTGTTTTAAGCACTTTAATTTTTTCGAGGTAATACTTATTATTGTAAATTTAAAATAAAAGTAATATCAATTTTATTGAAACACTTGTTCAAACAGAAACTTTATTGTAAGAAAAAAATTACAATTGAATGTTTAGTATACTATTTTAAATATTCTTCGAGTGTAGTTTGTCGTGCTAATTCTATACTAGTTTGAACTATTTTTTTTCTCAAATTAGTAAGAACTTTTATAACAGAATAATCAACATTTAAATTCTTTTGCGCAATGTAGGTAAGCATATTATCACATTCTAATAATGTCTCTGAGCTTGTTACAATTTGTTCTTCAAGAGATTCTTCTTCTTCTTCTTTTAATGTTTCGCTACAATTAATAGTATCTACAATTTCTTGAAATAAAATATTCTCATCAGTAGAGGAATAAATATCTTTATTTTTGTCGATATCCATGTATTCTTCTACATTCATTGGATTATCTATTGGCAAATGTTGAATAAGATCTGCTATTTCGCTTTTAATCTTTTCAATTTCATCTATTACATATGTTGTAGGAATTGAAAGTGTAGAAGCTGATAGAATATCAGCACGTGTCCAGGATGATATGATCATTTGTGTTTGTACACAATCCCATGCTTTAACTATGAAGTTAATTGCATCAAGGATAGTAACCTTTGTAATAGTTGAATTGGTTAATCACTTATCATAAAGATTAATTAAATGTGAACACAATAATCGTCGATACTGAGCCTATATAATAATAATAATAATAATAAGTAATTTAATAAAAAACGAAGAATAATATTAAAAAAAAAAATATTTAAAACCTTTAAACTGTAAATAATTCCTTGATCAAGAGGTTGAATATGAGTTGAAGTATTCGGAGGTAAAAAATGAACTTTTACATTGGAAAGTTCAAGATTCTTCACCTTATAACTTGATACGTTATCAGCAAATAAAATAATTTTGCAGTTTTTAAGTCTAAACATATTATTAATTTTTTCTAGATAATTCTTAAATATAGAACGTTGCATCCAAGCAGACTTATTATAATAATACTATACACCAGGAATATGTTTATCGATTCCATGTAATGCTTGTGGATTATTTGAATTATTTATGAATAATAAAGGTAATTTTTCTTCTCCTGTTGCATTAAATGTTAAAAGTATAAATATACGATCCTTTGATAGTTTTTTTCCTAAGACTAATGTATTCGCAAGTGTTTTATAAGGCTCCATTTTCCAAAATAGAGCCGTCTCGTCACAATTGAAAATATCACATCTATTGTAATTCTCTAAAATTAATTTTAAATCTGCACGCTGTTCAGGTAATTTATCTAAATCAATACTATTAGCTTCTCCTCGCTTTCTATAAGACTTAAGATTATTTCTTTTTTTAAATCCTTCTAGCCATCCATTAGTTGCACCAAATTCATAATTATTAAATAGAACTGCAAATTTTTGAGCCATTTCTTTCAAAATCGAATCTGTTAAAGTCATATTATCACTTATGGCATTTTCTACCCAAAGACCTAATGCTTCTTCTATAT